TCTGCTTCATCAGGGCTGGGAGACTCTGTGACTGGGGCACAGCCCCAGTGGTCGAGCTGGCTAAGACGCCCGTCACGGATTTTAGGGAGGTCCCTAGTTCGAATCCTGGCTGGGGTAATATTTTTCGCAATAAGAATTTTAATTACCAGACACGGTCGACAAAAATCACCGATGTTATTAATTTAGTTACAACTTTGTTTTTTCCTGAGATTTATGAGATTTACTTCAACAATACTGTCATAAAATATTTTATTTACTTCGATAAAATATTGATACATTTTTTTTACTTCGATTAAAATATTTTTTCACAACAGAATGGAGATTGTTCTGATATCTTAATTATTAAAATAAACATTGATTTAATTTGATTATATATACATACTTTATTTATTATTTCCTGCAATATTTATCTGAACAGATAAAGATCGATTTGACGTCGACTAGATGTCGACTAGACGTCAATAAATTGTTCTAGCTTCCTAAATGTAATTTTTTACTGCGTTAAACTATATCGTTAAATTTTCTTTCTGCGTATCATTTCATATATATAAAACCATAGGCAAAATGTGATCGACGTCGAATCGATTATATATACAGTTTGAATCGACAAGACATCGACATCAGTGACAAAAAGAGATCGATGTCGATTTTAATTTCGATTTCATTTCGAACACGCGTATCGACATCCGTCGATTTGATGTCGGGTCGACATTTTTTGTCTCACTGGGTAGCGTCCAAAAAAACCAGCTATGTCCACCGCTGGATTCGAAATAGGATTTTGTCGTTCATTTATTAACTAAGCAGCGCACATTTCTCTGCGCCAAGCTCGCCACAAGAAAACTTTTAATTTTTTAAAATAAAGTTATAGAGCTGAAAATTTACTTTTGAAACTTTAATTTTATTGAATTAAATTTTTCTAAAAGCTGTCGGGAAATGATAATGTATTTGCATTTTTGCATTAACAACTAATGTTGGCATATTTAAATGTAAACTGTAAGAGGCGGCGATCACTTTACAGTGTTGAATCCATGTCATGGATCAATTACACCCAACATACATAGCATTTAGATTTACATTATTTCTGCTATATTGTGCTACTAGTTAGGTGACACGTTACGCTTACACGTCTACCAGATAATAGATTTTGCTCGGTTTTTTTACATGAATGTGGTATCAAATTACTTCCCTCAGATTTTGGTGTATATAATATTTAATGACAACTTGGCGATAAAGTGCTGGCTAATTCTTTACCGAGATCATATTTCATTTTTTTCAGAAAATATCATGTCTTATTACGTATCAAATTGGAAGAATAGTATAGATACCAAAAGGGTAAATGTAGAAGAGGATCATGTTGACTTTATCCATCAATCACATATGCGCAAAAACGGACTTCAAGATGAAGAGCTTCTACTTCTGGAGTCTCCGGAAATATATTCCGATATTAAAAGACGAGAAATTTCTTGTAATTATAATATAAATGGATTGCCTACTATATTTATAGACTACAAGATTGGAAAACGTGTATGTGTTATTTCCAAATATTATCTGCTAATGTTGTGTAAAAAATACTCATAATTTCACTTTATGCTGCAAGATTCTGTAATATTTGACATTTTTTCTTAATACAGGTACTCGTCGAAGACAGTTTCAGTATTTCAAAATCTTCATACCTGCAAGAAACAGATTATATTAATTCATCAGGTCGCCCATACTTAGAGAACATCCGTCATAATTGTGTTGGTATGTAATATTTGAATTTACAAATAAGGTATTATTAAAGAAAATATGCTTGTGTTCAGAAATAATTGCAGTTCTATTATTTACTTTGTAGATTTCGAGTTTCAAGAAGCTGTATATCCAATTAGGGTTTCTATACAGCAAGAACTGAATAGTTGGATTCCTGAGATAACAATGGAAATTTGGGCGCGAGATTCTGATCGGTGGTTTTTATTATGGATTGGAGGAATGCAGGTTCTTCGAAGTACACCACGACTGTTGTCCCCGGCTTTACGGGCCTGTGACTTTAAAACTAAAATGCTCAGATTAATATTTCCGTATGACGCTAAGGGAATACAGATAGATGCTGTAGAGCTCATCGGAACATCAGAATTGATTCAACCTAAAGATCCTAAACAGACTTTGACCGATCTATTAAAAGATATTAATTGCAGCTATCCTGACCGTAAGGATATGCACAATTTAACACCAGATTACAAAAATGCAAATCTGGATGTATATCAACTTATGGAAAAATTTTCCGACTATTGTATTATTCGTAAAAAAAGGTATTGTAATCTTCGATAGTAAGTAATATTCTATTTTTATTAATATTAACGGTTAATTAATTTCAACATTATTTTTAGCAATTTACATTTAAATAATGGAAAATTGAAAGGCATCACACCCTCTTCAAGTGAATTCAAGAAGCAACCACGTTGTGATTTTTCTATGCTTCCTGTAAGATATTCAACACATATTTAAAGAAGTTTCTTTCTTATAACAATATTTATTATAATATCGTGAATTAAAATTTTATATTTTATCCTTGCAGGAAGAGATGATACTAAAAATACTGGAATACTTAGATTTAAGGTCATTGTGCCTTATGAGCCAAACGAACAAACGCTTCAATCGATTAACACGAGATCCTTCGCTTTTTAAATATTTAAATATAGAATATTTGCGCATGTATAAGAAGTCTACCGATGATACTATTGGTGGTTTGCAGTGTAAAATTCTATCTAGCTTGGAATCCAGATGTGAGCACTTACAACAGTTGAAGCTTGTATTCTGCGACATTACTAGTCCACGTTTCGTAATGTTTCTTAGAACTTGTGGCTCGAAGTTAACGTTCTTGCGATTAGCTTCTTGCAAGATTGACAACGATATCCTCTATGAAATTGGAAAAACATGCAAAAACTTGACAGGTACGATTATGATTTTTAAAAATAAAGTTAAATTATGTCTGACTAATCATATACATTTTTTAGTGTTAAATTTGAGAAACTATGAATATAATATGGGCGACGCTCTGGACGAAGGATTGTTGTACCTCCAACATCTAAAATTTTTAGAAGAATTAACCCTTGAACATATACTTATAAGAGACGTTGAAACCCTTTGTACAATACTGCATGGAAAGCACCGATTACATTATTTACATTTGAATGAATATTTTGGACTTCTAAATATAAATGAAGTTTTAATACAATTACAAAATAAAGCATTGTTTTCAAACTTGGAAACAATAAAATTATCGGGCCGTGCTATTGATTTGCGGGGTATTGGTGCCCTAGCTGAGTTCAAGAATTTACGAATACTGAGCATTAAGACAAGGTATGCTAGATTTTCTTTTACATATTATTACATTTTTTATCGTAATTTATGTGTTTACTCTTGCAAGTATCATGAAATATAGATATAGTGTGTTGTTTTTCTCTTTGTTAGGAATCGCAATAATGGTGTGGTTTAGTTACAGCTGTGAATATACAATCGATAAGAATGACTGGCGGAAATTGTTCTCTTCCTGTCAACGTCTGGAGACAGTGCATTTGCCGTGCATTTTTAACAGTGTTATAGATGAAGCACTGACACACTGTAAAAATCTAAAAGAAGTACAGTTTTGGCACATACCTCAGATTCCCGAGAGAGTAGCAATTCTCGAGCAGTGTCCTAATCTGCGAATCCGTGTTATAAGAAGTAGCATTATTGACGAATTGCTGAAAAAATATCCACATGCGTCCATCTGCTTATATAACGATAATAATATCTGAGAGAACCCTTGAAATGTCTTCCTGATTAAATTCTAAGACGATTTTTTCTTTACCAAAATTTTCTTCGAAGCTTAGTTTTTGAATTATAAATAGAAATAACTAATAAAACGAACCTATCATCAATGTCACATCATGCTTTACCACCAGTCTTGCCTTCGTGTACCATCAAATCGTCCAACTTATCTCAATATAATAACAATCAATTTCAAATGAACTCATATGTGACACACTCAACATCAATACCAATTGCTTCAACATCCAGAAATCTATCTACTTCCGTACCAACAATTACTTCACCTGCATTATATTCATCGTCAGTACTTAGTCATTCTCAGACTTCAAACTCATCGTCAAAAGCACAATCAAGTCCACTGCCTACTTCAACACAATATCAAACTATTTTACCGGTATCTAATCATTCTAATCCTACAACCTCCTTTCCATCGACACTTATTAATTCTGGATCAGTACTTGTTCATCAAAATATAGACGATCAAAACGATGAACTAGAAACTTCTTATAAAGACAAAAGTCTCGGAAAAAATAAAACAGATAATGAAACAACTAATTCTGAGAGTTCTGACAATGAAAGCATTAACGGTGATTCTGGAATTTTTTCTAGGATTGCATTAGGGACGGGTAAATGTTCTAATTATTAATATCATTTTTATTAATACTACTTTTACAGCAAAAATAATGTAATTGTTAAATATGTTTTACGCTATTTAAATATCACGAAATGCAGAGTTGGGTAGAAATTAGTTAAAAATTAAAGTTAATATTGATGTTAAAAAGTTAATAATTTTTTACTTAATTTAGTTAATTTGCATTGTTACAGTGACAGATAGGGACATTCATTTCCAACAACCATTATTAAAAGCAATGATACAATCTCGCGAAAATCAATTAAAAATGGATGTCAATTCGAAGAAAACATTCCCGGTAGCGTACGCATTATAATTCTTACAATTTAATAAAAAACTGGATTTAAAAAACATTTTGTATGTAATTCTTTAGGTACCACTTCACTATTTTGAAAAGGGGGACAAAAAGGTATAAACACTGATCGACAAATAAAATTCAGCGAATTAATCTTGTATAATCATGTACCTTATTACTAAATTTTTTTTATATAATATTAAATATCACAGGTAGAAATAGCACCAAATTGTGGTTTTTATTTACCCAAAATTCGAGCATCAACTATAGAAACGGAAGCGGCTACTCGCGATGACTGGAAAATAATTGTACGTGAGACTCTTTTAGATGTCTATGGTTCAAGTATTGTAAACTATTCTGCCACTGGAAAAAGAGGTACTCGGCCAGGAATAGATTGCAAATTATTTAAAGGGTTATATGGCAAGTATATAAAATAATAATAAATAATAAATAATAAATAATATAAATAATTGGTACAAAATAATTGTTGAATTAAAATGTTGATTTTTCTAAAGATTGGGTAAATCAGAAAGCGTCTCAGTCAGTTTCTAAAAAAAATTTCATCGACTACATCAATAAAATGGCATCTAACAAACGGAAATATCAAAAGTCATCTAAATTGCAAATAAAAAAAAGAAAGATAAAAAATTGAAAGAGAAAATTACAAAGGAAAAAGAAAATTCGCTGGCTAAAAGATTTGGTAAATATTTTATCACTTTGAAGTATATTTTTTAACTATTTGATTTGATTATTATTATTAATTATGGGCTATATTAACTATTATTTATTGTCTAGATATTCCGATATTATCAAATGATCGAAATGATGAATTTAGTACAAATGATCAAATGATCGAATTTAGTACAAATATTCCAATGTCCACAAATACAAACTACGAGGAAAATGAGTACAGATTGACTACTCTATAATGATATAATGTAATATAATATTTAAAATATAATATATATATATATAATTAATATATTTATATTTATATTTATATGTATATGTATAGTGACAAAATATTTTATTTAGAATTATTTATTTATTAATTCTTTTAGATTATTTATTTTGCGATTCGTGTCACTTCTTATGTCTACTACTTTTACAGAGTTGAATTCAAGTGTACTCCCAACGAAACGCCCGCATATATTATTGTGAATAACAACTTATTCGACAGTAATTATAATGGAACAGAAGACTACTGTGTAATCGTTTCATCGAAATATCCCTATTGTATGTACAGAGAGCAATTGTAGCTGTCAAGAATAAGTGACTACGAGTTCGACATTTGAATTTCTAATTATCTAATTTTACTTGTATAATGAATACGTCTATATTTACCGACATTTAAAGTCTAACTGTTATTTCTAAAAAGAAATAAATGATTACGATCTGCATATAAAAGAGAGTATAATAACTGATAGATGGAAATATGATAATTAATAAGGGATGCGAAAGGGACTACCACCGGAGTTTTATTGCACGTTATTGTATATCTCTGGTTTACTTTACTTTCAGCATTACACTTTAATTATTTAACTTACAAAGCTTCTTCTGTGAACAAGCCAAAATTTAAAAAATAACTTGCCCAGATGATGAGAAAGCAATGTGCAAATTTCCGATTTGCACCGTCAGCCACAATATAGATTGATGTTTCATAAATCGTTTTAGATTTCTTTTTAATACTTTAATGTGAGGAAATAGCGACAAATGCGACATACTTACATATGTTCATTACTAAAAAAATACCAGAAAAACATGTGTTCAATTGGAATTAATATGGTCCCCATACGGTACAACAAAATTGCAGGAATATTGTGGCAATATTTCATTGTAAGAGTGCGATATTGCATAAATGTCATGAAATATTATTGTGAGATTGCTGCAAGATTGTAGTAATGATAAATAGACTAATCTGCCACAAGTTGGATGCAGTAGCTATTAATATACAGGGTGTCCTGAAATTCGCGAATCAAAATGCCATAGCAAGAAAGTCGTCGAAAAAATAAATTAAAAAGTTAATTACCATTTTTCGTTCCGAGCAGTAGTTGTTTTAGATAAAAAGGTTCAAAACAGGCCAATCATACATTACGGTTGAACGGAAACCTGTCCGTGAGTCGCGCGTCGATAGTGTTAGCGCATTAACCTATCGACGCGCGACTCACGGACAGGTTTCCGTTCAACCGTAATGTATGATTGGCCTGTTTGGAACCTTTTTATCTAAAAAAAAACTACTGCTCGGAACGAAAAATGGTAAATAACTTTTTAATTTATTTTTCCGACGACATTCTTGCTATGGTATTTTGATTCGCGAATTGCAGGACACCCTGTATATTCATTTTACCAGAAATCCATATACATTTTTAGGATTTAAGAATGCTAAAAGAGGGTTTGGCATTAGCCTGCTTTGAATCTCCTAGCAGTAAAAACGGAAATTTCAGACACATAGTAGCGTTAAAGTAGCAGCTAAAATTATATTTAAATAACGCCTATTTTTACTCTATTACTCCTACATCGGAGAAAAAAATCGAGGTTCAATGTAGGGGCAAAATTTCGACTCGGGTGGCAGCCAGACGATTCGCACCAGAAGCAGCATCCGGGCCCATGACCCGAATGGTAATGCCACTGTTATCACGTCGCGTCTGCATCGCACCAATACCGATTTCCGAGAGCTGGATCTTGCTCCTAGCCGCGTCTTCAGCAAATCCAGATCAGAAGATCCACGACGACCACGCACGCGCACCGTTGCAGATCGGATAATCCATCGGTCCTCAGCCCGTGAAACGGGAGATTCACAGCTTGGAAAGAAACAGCTTATTAATGAACAATGCTGTCAAAAAGTATCTTAGAAAATTATTTAAATTCAACATGACCTTTGAACGTCGTTTCTGACTAATTGTGACCAGCGAAGATTCACGAAACTTTCTCTCACGACATTTAATCTTATTATTAAAATTTGTATTTGTATACTATACAAAAGTAGTTTTTTTATTATTATTAATGTAAAATATGATGTTTTGACATTAGATCTCCTTACAGAGTTGTAATACTGAAGACCGAAAAAGTACTAAAATAATTATTAGTGGAAAATGGCTGTACATCAGAAATTTCTAATGACGTTATGATATTTTTATAATTTATTTAACATTTGAGTTATCAATATAACAAAAAGACTTATAACATAACTTATGAGGTCCCACAGGTTCGAATCCTGGCTGGGGTAATATTTTTCGCAATAAGAATTTTAATTGCCAGATATACGGTCAATAAAAATGACTGATGTTATTAATTTATTAATTACTTCTGGCGACTTTAAGAATATTCTTACTAGTTGATAACTTATGAGTGATTGAATTATTAAAGAACATATCAGTTGTTATTGATACGAAATTTATATAAATTGACGAAATTACTCCAACATCTTTAACATTACAGTTGACGAGCAAACCGAAACGCAATTAATGAACTTCCCCCTTACAACCATCAAGTCTCATGCTATAGCGGGCGTTGTGCCAAAATTTCTGATGTGCTTTCAAGTCTCGGGAGTTTAGCGCGCTAATTTCATTCGTTAGCGGCTTGCGTTGCTTCCAAACGGATTAATTAACGAAGTAATGAGTCTTCGGGGAGTAATAAGCGCGAGTATCATTCAACGAGCTGAATTAGGACGGACGAATTAGTCCATTTGCAAGTCGTCGTCGTTACC